CAGTAAGTGTTTTACCGTAATAGTAAGTGTTTTACCGTAATAGTAAGTGTTTTACCGTAGTGATAAGTGTTTTACCGTAACAGTAAGTGTTTTACCGTAATAGTAAGTGTTTTACCGTAGTGATAAGTGTTTTACCATAACAGTAAGTGTTTTACTGTAGTGATAAGTGTTTTACCGTAACAGTAAGTGTTTTACTGTAGTGATAAGTGTTTTACCGTAACAGTAAGTGTTTTACCGTAGTGTTTTACCGTAACAGTAAGTGTTTTATTGTAACAGTAAGTGTTTTACTGTAGTGATAAGTGTTTTACCGTAACAGTAAGTGTTTTACCGTAACAGTAAGTGTTTTACCGTAACAGTAAGTGTTTTATTGTAACAGTGAGTGTTTTACCGTAGTGATAAGTGTTTTACCGTAACAGTAATTGTTTTACCGTAGTGATGGGGTAGAGCGGGTTCTGGATGGACAGCAGCAGGACCTTGTTGCCGCTGTTGGGGTCGTCGGCGTTGGTGGGCCGCGTGATGCGTTTGCTGGTGGAGTAGTTGAAGAAGGCTTGCTGGCCCGCGATGTACACGGCCTCCTGGGAGCCGCACGACACACACCGGTCGGCACTCTGAGCCTCCTCGAACTCCACCAGAGCCTGGCGCTTGAACGGCATCATCATCACGTAACTGCGGGACAGGAGAGGAGGCCTTCAGGACAGCTGCATCTCAGATTTCATTATGCATGTTTATTACTTTGGTTTTTTTATATTAATTTATCTTTATATATATATATATATATATTGCTATTTGTATCATTTATTTCAATTTTATTTTCATTTTAATTTCTTCTACTTTTATGCATTTAGTTTTCACATTTATTTTAGTAAAATTTTTGTTAATTTAGTTATGTGCTTTTGTCATTTGATTATTTTATTTTTTCAGTATTGCTATTTAGGTTTAATTAATTTTTTTTCACTTGATTATAATGTTTGTTCATTTCGTTATGTGTTTTTGTCATTTCATTTCATTTTTTTATAGTATTGCTAAGGTTTGATTTATTTCAGTTTTAGTTTATCTTTCAAATTTTTTGTTATTTAGATTTTTTTGTAATGTTACATTTAGTTTAATGTTTAATTATTTCGTTATGTGTTTTTAATGTCATTTAATTTTTTATTTCTTTATTTTTTCTAGTATTGCGAATCAGTTTAGTTTATTTTTATGACAATAACCCTGGTTCGGCATCTTCATACAAGATCTGAAGATGCTTTGAAACTGAATAATATCTTTTGAATAATTTCTATAATGTGTAGCAATGCATAGAAATTTCCACAACTGTAAATATTTGGGTGAAATTTATATATATATATATATAATATTTTTATATATAAATATAGATTTTTTTATAAATATATATATATATATATATATATATATAAATATATAAACATTTTATATAAATACGTTTTTATATAAATATATAAAAAAATATTTTTCCAACATGGTTTTGAAGGGCAGAGATTTCAATGTTTCACTAATAAATAATGTTCCACTAAACACTATTTCTTCTCAGTTTTCAAATTCTCTCAATTTATCACAAATTGCAAACAATAAATGCCATCTTTGCACTGCTAGTCACTCGCTAATTTTACTTAAACCGTTGTCTTCATTAATTTAATGTTCGAATAATTGTCATGAAAACAAGTTTTTATATATTTATATTTCAACAACAAACTGGAGTAAAAACATTTATATTTTGGCTTCGGCAGAGAACTCCCTTCGCTGCATCACTAATGATCAGTGCATTAGACAAATAAACAGCAGTGTTTATTTTATTATATATTATTAACGGCATCAAACCAGAAGCGAATACTGGAGGACTCAAATCAAATCTGCAGAGATGTGTGTAATGGAGGAGCACAGCACAGCATTCTGCAGTCATGAGATGCTCAAAGTGACTATAAATACACTCATATGACCTTGATTTAAGATCAGAGTGGGAGAGAGAGAGAGAGAGAGAGAGAGACTTCCTGTTCATCTTCATTTGATCCGTGTCTTTTCTAATGTAGTTCAGGCCAAACTAGGGATGTGCAATATATGTGTATCATCTACAATAATATCATAATTGTTGTTTTAATAATGTGTGATCTGACATGATCAATTTTCAGTGATTTACTCTATTAAAATACCACTCTATTGTATTTTGTATCATATAATAAAGTTGAGTAATAAGTAATAAAGTAAAAACACAGCGGTGTTTCGTCACTGAATGAATCAGTCCATTTGAACGAATCTTTTAAATAAATTTAGTCCGATTGAGCCGTCAATCCGCTTATAACAAAAAGAAACACCAGTATTCAGAACGAACCGCTATACCGCCCATGAGAAATAAATAATCATTTCACCAGATGTTTCCGAACTTCTCCAAGGACTCGACCAGATCAGCCTCCACCACCGACTCACACAACCCTCGGACGTGGACGACGGGAGACGGAGCGATGCGGTGAGTCTCCGAGCCGTTGTCCTGCGGGAGAGACAACACACACGCCACATACAACTCAATAAAGCAGTTTTAAAATTAAAAACAAAACACGTAATGAAAAAAAATGGAAAATTACACACACACACTCTCACACCACACACACACACACCTAGTTTACTATCTTTGTGAGGACTCTCGGTGGACGTAATGTTTTTTATACTGCACAAACTGTATATTCTGTCCCCTTACACACACACACACTAACCCTAGAGCCAGACCGATATATCGGCAGACCGATATTATCGGCCGATATTAGGCATTTTCCAAACTATCGGTATCCGCAGTAATAATAGCGGATAAATGAATATTTCAAAAATAAAATAAAAACGGACGAAACGCGCTTGAACCATGTCATGAGTGTTGGAGTTGTATAGTTTGTCCACCAGAGGGCGCTCTACACCGTTCCTGTTGGCAACACTCGTTGAGTTGGTCACGAGACATACATTGCTTGAATAACAATTAAAAGAACATCCCCATCAGTTCTCTAAACTCAAATAAGCAGGACAAAAAATAAATAAATAAATAAAATATCGGCCGATATATCGGAATATCGGATTTTAAAACCCAAAAATATTTGTATCGGCCTTCAAAATCCTTTATCGGTCGGGCTATAAACCTTACCCATCACACTCTCTCTCTCTCTCTCTCTCTTTCATTTATAATGTTTTACAAGATTTCTGTTTCAAATAAATGCTGTTCTATAAATCAAAAAATCCTGAGAAAGAAAATACATCAGCGTTTCCACAAAAACATTAATCAGCACGACTGATTTCAACATTTATAATAATCATAAATGTAATTTGATCGTCAGATCCCCATATTAGAGTGATTTGTGAAGGATCATGTGACACTGAAGACTGGAGTAATGATGATGAAGATCCACGTTTCTGTATATTCACATAGAGAACAGATGATTTACACTGGAGGAATATTACACTGTTTTACTGTAGTTCTGATCAAATAAATGACTTTCTAAGCATTTGAGATACTTAAAAAAATCTTACCGACGTCAAATCTTTGTATCTAATGTATCTAGAGTAGTAAAGATAAATAAAAGTGAACAAAACCTTTCATTAAGAACGTCTCCGAATGCGTCAATCCATGACTGTGATTATTCTGCTATCGGCCAATAGTTGATAGTCACTCAGTCCGTCATATTAATGAAGAACAACCATTAATTATTACTTCGATCATGTGATTTAACGTTTCAGATTAAAACATTAAACAGATCGAGTGCAGTGACGGGAGCATGTGACGCCGAAACCACACGTGCATCTGCATATTTTTGCAGGCATCACACTCTCTTTCCATTTTCTGTTTTGCAAAACTCCCGAATGCTTCGACCACAGAGATCAACAGTCGAACGGTTACAGGACGGGCACCTCTAAGCCTTCGGCTCACATTCACATCAAGAACGTGAAGAACGTCCCACTGATTCACTCTCAGCGAGGGTCATTATAGTGAACTGAAACTGGACTAAAGCCATAAAAAACATTTCCTGCTGCTTGACATTAAAGTCCTGTACTTAATAATCCCTTCAAAATTTAAGCTTCTAAAAAAATATCTTGAATGTAACTCGACACCCTTGCCTCATTTAGTATGCGCAGGGCCATGAATATGCAAATATGCTCCTCTCACTCCACTGGTTGATGATCACACGTTGATCTGATTGGTTACAAGGTGGTTTGTGACGTCAGAAAGCGTGTTTTTGAGACTGTCTTTGATTCACTGCAGATTTAACCTCTTAACTGTCACCCCCCCCCCCCCCTTTTTTTGAATACACATGGAAATGCTCATTTCAAACTTAAATGGTTGTAATTCAAGAACGCTTTGGAATATAGACGTAAGATTGGTCTCGTTTTAAAGAAGACATTTGGCAGATTTTTCTCGAAGTGAAATACATTAGGAAAGTGAAACAGAAAAAAAGTTATAGAAGTTTGAGTTTATAGAAATGTACAATGTAAAAAAATGAATTATTCATATTTTATATAAAATATATATTTTCAAAACCTGGGCTACTCTAAAACTGCAGAAAAATCAAAGCCAAAAATCTGAACAAGTTGTGTTTCAAATTTTAGGTTGATATCTCAAAAAATTAGCTTACAGTGAGATTTAATTTGGGCGCAGTACCGAACGCTTCCACTAGGGCACAACCAGACTCCATCACTGCCCATATAAGGGCGTCTCCATTTCCATATGTGTTTTGAGTGATCTGAACCATTATTTTCACAAATTTCACACAATTTATGAAGTAGAAATCCTATTCAGAAGTAGTATGGGTAGTTTGGCATATTTTGATATGAATTCAACCTATAGGAATCACATACAAAGCACACGCATGCGCGTTATAGCTTATTGCCATAACACAAATGGTGAATCTATTTTTTTTTACCGTAATATTTAAAACATTTTCAGACCTTTTTTCTAAAATAATTGAATGGATGCTATCTTTTGAACTCTTGGCATGAAATCAAACTGAGGTTTCTAACTTTTTTTCATGATTTTTCATGTTCATTGCTATTTCAAAATAAAGGTCTAAACACGTTTTATGAGTATGAAAATATTCTTGTTGCAAATTGATAAATTACGGCTCCTGTGTAAATTATTTTGAAAATCAGTCACCAAATATGGAAACTAGAGATTGTAAGCTTTCAAATGATATATAGTTTGTCAATATTACTTAAGGTCTTTTCTAAGATATTATTGTTTTAAAAATATAATGGCAAGCGGTAGGAAGTGGTAGGAAATACTCAGCAATGCTGTCCACTTTTCAACTTACACATGGTTTAAGCGTATTAAAAACACCACATACACACATAAACTGGATTTTCACCACAGGGGGACTTTAACTTTAACTTCTTGTTTATTGAATTGTAAGCAAATACATTAAAGTGGAACCACAACCAAAGGGATAAAAATATATAAATAATTCTCATGGCATCATGTGTATATATACAATATATACTCATTCAGAATGGTGATTCAAATCTATTCAAATTTATTCAAACACACAGCATTGCTTTACATGTTCCCTCATAAAAAACATGTTTTTTGGTTGTTGTTCTGTTTTTTTATGTAATGTAAATCATTTACTAAATGAATCATTTCCTTGTTTTGGACCACATGAACTAAAATAACACAGCGTCTAATAAAAGCACAGAGATGCAACACACACACCTGATAGTGTCAGTGTGTCTGAAGTATTTCCTCCTGTTGCTTTGAGAAAACGTCCGTCTGTTTTTTAACTCAAGGTTAACACCTGTATATTTGACAGATCTGAGACCAGATTATATGCTCAGCATCTGTTACTTTAAAACCAATCATTCTCCCAGATGTGAGCGAGTAAACAATGAGGTTTGAGGTGAACTACTTACTTTAAACCCATGAGAGCCAAAGCAGCGTCTGCGGTTGGAAAACGACCTGCAGAAACACGGCGCTGTGACCATGTTCATCGGAAGAATCACATCATTCAGACCCCGAACACACACTCAAACATCAAACCCTTTCCACAGCACACACACACGGACACCAGATCCTTGAGTCGCACACTAAGAGCCCTATCTTACCGATCTAAGCGCATGATCTGAAGCGTTTACCATCACTTTTGCTAGTTTAACAATAAGACAAATGGCCGGCGCTCCCATATAAAACCATATCGGTAACAAAGCATATTAAATATATTTAATAACATTTTAATTAATGGTCTATGAGTGTCACACATTTCAGTTCTCATTTGTTCCTCAATTCTGACAAAAGATTGCATTAATTCTTTATCACAAAGGAAAAAACTGAGCAACTAGAAGGGTCTTCTTACCCACATGACCTCATCTGCATAGCCACACCCACCTCATCTGCATAGCCCATATATAACCCCACCCACCATCTCAGCTCACAGGATTCATTAATACTGAATAATTGAATTACAGACGTTCAGTTCTCAATTTCTCTGAAATAATGTCTGTTTATGTATTTAATCATCTCAATAACCTAGTTTCAATAATAATAATAATCAATTCAATTCAATAATAACAAATGTTTTCGTGCAGGCTGTTTGTTTGTGCTGCAAATTCATGATGGGGAGGAGTAAAAATGGTCAGACGCTTTATCATTCGTGCATATAAAAGATTGTATGTATATAAGGCATCTGACTTCACTTAAACTAATGCATAAACAGGTTAATCAGGCAGACAAACAAGCTCTGAAAACGTCAGACGCTTTAAAAATAGCTCTGAATCTGCGGGAAATGAGCAGCGGCTGCATGTTAATGTCATCATACTCTGATTCGATTACACAAATGAATCGTTTCGGGTGACATTTCGAACACAGGGACACAAACAGTGTGTGTTCTCATGAGCGGACGAACGATGGTTCGTGGGAAGTGTATTCCAGATGAAAGGCGGATTCATACACACACACAGGGTTTAATAGTTGACTTCGTCATAAACATTAATAACGCATGAAGTGACTCACTTTTACACTGTGTGAAATGAAGCAAAACGGCTCATCACGAGTAACTAAACGAAAACGTATCCGATAAATAAAGCATCTGTGTCAGAGAGAGAGAGAGAGAAAAAGAAAGAAAGAATTATTATTTTTAGTCAGCCAAAGTCAGTTTGATTTCCTCTCTGCCAGAGATTATTCACGGCGTCACGGCGATCGGCTCATCTGTTCAGTGTTCAATCAGTCGACCGGGAGTCTACGTCCCTATACATCACTGAGCAACTGGACCCTGAACGAGATATGACTGAGATATGACTGAGATATGAGATATGACTGAGATATGACTGAGATATGACAGAGATGTGACTGAGATATGACTGAGATATGAGATATGACTGAGATATGACAGAGATATGACTGAGATATGACTGAGATATGAGATATGACTGAGATATGAGATATGACTGAGATATGACAGAGATATGACTGAGATATGACTGAGATATGAGATATGACTGAGATATGACAGAGATATGACAGAG